AACATCAGGGGGGAGAGTGTGGTGAGGACAGTGGCTCAGGACAGGGCCACCAGGAATCAGAGAGAGAGGGAGGGCTCCCCTCGCCAGGGACAAACTATGAACCCCAAGGGACACCCTCGGGGACCCACTTCCTGCAGCCACACCCTCCAGACCCATCTCCCCAGGCCACGCCCTGCCCCCCTCTTCCAGCCACGCCCAGGGCCCCGCCTCTTCCGGCCACGCCCCCGGGACCTGCCTCCTCTGGCCACCCCTGGAGGCCCGCCTCCCCGCCACACCCCGTTGATCCCTAGGGGGATGAATTCACGCTGAGGTGGAGGCTCTCACAACCCATTCACTGCACCCAGAACTGTCCGGCACCATCTTGCGCACACGGACTTCTACCAGCCGGCTCCATCCCCTGTTGATGGCCCAGCAAGTCACGGGACAAGCCTCCGTTCACACTCCTAACCACATCAGCGCTTCAGGAGATGGGCTTTCCGACCTCAATCTCCAGGTGCATCGCATCCTGGAAGATTCTCTCCACGCCCCTTCCCAAAAGCACAACCTGCCCAGCTGATGAGACCCGAAGCTGCAGTGCACAAACCTCGGTCTTCAGCCCTCCTTGAGGTCTTGGGGACAACCCAGAACATGCGAGAGGGAGGAGGGAATGTGACCCCTCGAGGGCGCCTCCCCACGTGCTCTGGAGCCCCCACTGGAACTTCCTAAGGAGGGTGGGCGCTGCTTTCTTCTGAAGATGAAAACCCCCATTTCCACCCAGGCGGGGTTGCATGCTTGGGGCATATTTATAGCCCCGGCTCCCGACGCCTCCCCTGCTTCTTCGCAAATGAAGCACTTAAATCATTTTGCAATAATGTTGTCTTTTTAATAAGCCTAGTCAAACGCGCTTCCACGGAGGAGACAACATGTGTGAGCAAGGTCTCTGTGTGAGCCTCCCCCTGCTGAGCAGGCGGTCAGAGCCCTGGGTGGTGGAGGGGCGTCTTCCTGATGCAGGCCCTGAAGGGGGGTCTGAGCCCCAGCCGTCAGCAGGAGCTCCCTTCTAGGAATCTAGGAGCACACGGAAGGGGGTAGCTTCTCCCTGGGCTCTACCTGGCGATTCTCAACGTGAGGCCACACACAAGCAGCTTCCCCTCAGCTGAGAACATGCCAGAAATAGATTCTCAAGTCCCAACCCCATTTACAGAGTCAGAGGGGCTAAGGGTGGGGTCTAGAAACCTCTGCTACATCCTACAGAGGATTCTGAGGTTCAGTCCAGGACACGGTCAGCTGCTCTGAAGGACCAGGACCCCTTTCCCTGCATTCGGATCCCCCAGGACTTATTCAAGCAGCAATGAAGGATCCTCCCGTCCTCCTCTGGGGTCTTCTAGAACAAACCATCCAGAGATGAGGCTGCAGAGGCCACAGGGTTCATGGCCTCTTGGGTGGATACCTGCTCTTAAAGGAGTAGGAGCAACTCACAGAAATCAACAGTAACTTTCTTAGGGAGATGGCTGTGGCTCTCAGCAGGGAGAGGCAGGGAGATGAGAACCCTTTCTTCCAATAAAGCCATACCTGGCCCCAATATATCACATTTCTGCAAATCTCATTGATATTGATTCTAAGATATGTCAGACGCACTGATGGTAAAGATACAACCCGATTTCAGAAATGTAACATGATGGGAAAACAGTGTGCACTTGAGAATTGGTAAAATCAAGAGTGAGATGCTCTGGCAATTAATCCTGTTTTGAGGAGTCCTGGAGACCTCTGACCTCAATATCAGTCCTGAAGAAACTCAAGGGTTTAGAAAACACAACTTAATACTATGGTAGCCCAACAGGAGGGCCACAGAGTGGAAGGAAATGTCTACAGCACACACCACATAACAACAGAACTTATATACAGAATATATAAAGAGTTGCTGCAAAACAATAAGAAAAAAAATAGAGAGTGGGCAAAAGACTCAGAAGGCCACTTTGCCAGAGGATGACCAAAGAGCTCAAAGCATGCAGAAAAGCTCACATTATAATGGCAGTGTGGTACAACTGCTCACCTATGAAAATTGCTAAATGAAACAACAGAGAACACCAAGTGCTGACAAGAATGTGGAGCAACTGGAACTCTTACTCATTGCTTTAGCAAACTCTTAGGCAGCATCTATTAAAACTGGACCTACAAATGCCTTACCCCCAGCAATTCCATTTCTAGGTATCTTCCTAACAGAAGTGTACCACACATGCACCAAAACACATGTGCAACAATGGTTATAGTAGGTGTATTTATAAAAGTTCAATATTTAAAATGAATAACTAAATAAGCAACTGTAAAAGAAAATCTGGAAACAACCAAATGTCTACTTGGAGTAGAATGTAGAATGGATAAACAGTGGTGTGTTCACACAGTTGGAAACTTATACAGCAATGAGAATGACTGGCCCAGAACAACCCACAAATTTGTGGGTGAATGTCACAAACACAAGGTCAAATGAACAGAGCAGACACAAGCCAATGCACACATTTTTGTGCAGATAAGAGTGAGAATAAACTGGAGAAAGTTACTGTTATCTTAATCCGTAGGTGGTTTTGTATTTTCCAATCTAGGCAGAACATGTCTGTGGAACATCTAGTTTGCCTCTTGGCTCTTGCTGCTAGGAAGCTCAGTGTTAGACTGCCAGCCCACATTTAGTGGATCCTTCCAACCATTCTGTGTCTATTATCTGCCAAGGGGCTCCATTGGATGGACAAGAGGCATTCCGGCCTTTGGGTCTCCCCATGTAGCTGGGACACTAACATGGGGAGGCAATGGTCTGAATGGAAACCAGGTAGTGGTCCAGAGCAGGGCCATAATCCGCCATGAGAATCCCGCTAAGGCTTCCCCAGGGCCAGCTCACGCAGAGGTCATGGTGTGAGCGGGAAACGGAGGCAGATGGCAGGTTCTAAGGTCTCTTTCCCTGGCTTTGTATATTCTTCAACTCCTATTACCCTTGGGTATTTTTTGGCTTTGAAAGTTCACCTGACTTTTTAAAGCCCCACACATCTTTTTGCAACCATCTGTGGCACCAAGGTGCAGAGAACTGGGCAGAGCCGACTGCAGTCACCAACACACAACTGCTCAGTGCAGGTCTCAGACCCCGGGCTTCCTCTGCTCCTTCTCCAAGTGTCCCCACATCCCAAACTTCACGCCACATCTCCAGATCCACCGCATGCTATCCACAAGGGAGTTCTGTTGGCTTTACCATAAACCAGTTCCAGGGGCCACTGTCCCTCATCCACACCGAGCCATCGTATCACTAATAATAACAGGAACTCATGGGGGGTCAGAGACCTAGTTTGCACTAAGCTACAAATCCTATCCCGGGATGCCCCAGGACCTTGAGTCGCCATTTCCACTCTGTCTGCACACCTGAGCATAAATGGCACGTGGAATCGTGCAGCTCTGTAATGGAATATCCCCTTCCAGGGCGCCTTCCTGTTATACAAGCCTGTCATTCACCCTCCCATTACGGTCACCTCCCTTGCTTCATTTCCATAGCAATTCAGGATCTGATGGTAACTGACTTGTGTTCTGTCTCCGTCTGTTAACCTGGAGCTTGTGAGGACGGAGACTTAACCTTGTCCCTACCTGCATCCTAGGTGTTCCATCAAGCTGGGCATAGTGGCACATGCCTGTCATACCAGTGGCTCTGGAGGCTGAGGCAGGAGGATTGAGAGTTCAAAGCCAACCTTAGCAACTTAGCAAGGTCCTAAGCAACTCAGCGAGACCCTGTCTCTAAATAAAATACTACAAGAGCTGGGGACGTGGTTCAGAGGTTGAGCACCCCGGGCTTAAACCTCTGTACTGTGAAAAAAAAGAAAGAAAGAAAAAGATCCACCTAGTAACTATTTAGCTTTTGTAGACCACATGGCTTCCAGATGCAGCCACTCAGCCCGATCCTGGTTGCAGGAAGGTGGCCTTATCCTACACATCAACGAACGGGCTCTAATAAAACCTTCTGCAAAGAGCAGGAGATGAACTGGCTTGGAGCGGGGGCTGTATCCTGCACTCCCTCCACGCACTCTCCCCTTGGGGGCTCAGTTTCTAAGGTAAGTAACTGTGTCCCCGCAGTCCCCTATGAACAGGCTCCCACCTGGGCACCCACACTCCTTCCACCCGCACATGCTCCTGTTGCGAACTCCCTGGTGTTTCGCAGACACATGGGTGACATTCCCTAGCAAGTATCCTTAGAGTGGGATTGCTGGGTGTTGGCCACGGACAGCCTTGGCTCCCGCAGATGATGCCAGGTTGGTAAAGAGCAGCGAGACAGGGTGCCACTCCCCTGGGAAGTGCAGAGTCCCCGCTGCTGTGCACTTTGGGGGACATTCGGTGACATGGGATGTCTCGGTCTTGCCAGTCTGAAGTGTGACCTGGCACCTAGTGCGTGTTCGTCTGCATTTCCTGCTTGCTAGTTAGGTTGAGCATCTTGAGTTTATTGGCCACTTTATCGGCCCCATGACGTCTGGAACACACCAACTTTTGAAATGAGAGCCTCCCCCCAACCATCAGGAGATGCTTATTCATATTTTTGACCCATTTTTTTTCTGTTGGAAACTTAGTGTTCCAAATGATTTGAGGAAGTTCTTTCCTATTGTGGGTTCTCTTTGACAGGTTTATGAGCTGCCAATTTGGACCCCAAATACATATCGTGTCTTCCCTGTAGGCTTTGATCAATGGCAGTTTGTGACTTTAATGTAGTCAGAGTGCCATTTTCCCCTGCGACTTGAGCTTTTGTGTCATTTTAAGAAATTCTTCCTTTGGAGCAGAGGATGTGGGCGTGAATCTCAGTGTCACATGAGTTCTACCTGATTTCCTGGGGCCTCAGTTTCCTTCTCTGCAAAATGGGCATAACAATGGCTGGTGCCTCCCGTGTCATTCCCAGGGTGTGTGCGGCAAGTCCGAGAGCATGAGGCAGACAGCCACTCGTCCCCTCCGCTGACCTGGCGCCCACGGAGCCCCGTACAGGGACCTGTGAGGAGGGGGGGGAGTACCTGGCTCTCCAGACGGTCTGTGTTCTGCCGGAGCTCCGTCCTGGACTTTATTGACTTTTCCAGCTTCTGTCTCAGCATTGTGAGCTCCTCCTGCAAAAACAGACACCTTGCCAGAAACCAGTCCAGGCCAGAGACTCACACCTGACTCGTGTTCACAGGAGTCCAAGGGCCCAAGGTCTCAGTTAGTCCAGGGGGATGGGACCCAGCGGTCTCCTGCACAGAATGGTGCTCTAGGAAATAAGGTTCCCCATGCTTCCAAACTGCTAAGAGAGAGGTTTTGAATGTCTGCACCACAGACCGTGTTTTCCCCACTTCCAGATGTCCACATCTGTGCTTGTGTGAGTCTGGTCCACAGCATCCCAGTCTGGGGACCATGTGCCAATCCCCAGGAGGGGACCATGGCTCAGCCTGAGATGGGACACGCGAGCTGAGGACGTGTGCTCAGCCGTTCGCCTCCCAGTGCCTCCGCCCCAGCCTGGGATGCCGCCATTGGGAGCAGCTCACGGGCTCCCTACGGGTGAGGGGACGTGAACTACCCCCACACAGGGAACCGGGCAGCCGTAAAGAGGGAAGAGGACGAGGAAGGACTCAGAATATATTTTTTTAAGTGTCCAATGCAAGGTGCCAAGGAACACATAAGCCGAGTGTCCTTCTCTGAAACCCGTGGGGCCAGAGAGCTGGGGTCTCAGAGGTTCTCGGATCTGGGCATCCTCGCGAGGATTTTACCAGGTGAGGTTTGGGGAGTGGGGATGCTCAACGGTCCCTTTTACTTAAGAAAGAAGGAACCTCGTCTACACGGATTTGCTGATGTTTGCGCAGAGAAGCGACAGGGGACATTAACCAGAAGCCATTCGGAGCCGTGGCTGGTGACACAGGGGAAGGGACAGGGAGGAGGGTGTTTTCTGTAAAGTAGGAAAATAAAGAACCCCACGGCGTGGCCACCGGGTGTCTCTGGGAGGACAGTGGGCGTCCCTGGGTCCCAGCGGGTGTGAGGCGTTAGTCAGCATCCCTCGCCAGAGGAGCAGGCTGCAGCTGGAGGATGGCCTGGTCCATGGAGGCACCAGAAGGGGACATCAGGGGCAGCTGGGCGGAGTGTCCCCAGGCAAGAGTGCTCAGGGCTGAGCCCCCAGGTTTAGGTGCCAGTCGGGGGCAGGAGGAAGCAGCTGCCCTTCAGCTGTCACGTGGACTCACCTCTTTGGCTCGGAGCTGCTCAGTCCCAATGGTGGCACTCAGTAGTGGCCGGAGGGCACCAAACAGCTGCCACCACGGCCAGTCCTTGACGGCCAGGAACGCGGCCACGTTCTTCTGGATGCACTGGGCAGCCAGGCGGCGAATCTGCACGGGGTGGAGAGGACAGGACGTGAGGAGTCCCTCCCTGCACAGCTGAGAGGAGGGGAGGAGGAGAGTGGCCCTGGCAACGGAGGCCTTGGGCCCAACCCGAATCTCGTTTCCAAATCCTCCCAAGGCACCCGATAGTGGAAGTGCTGTGGGCCAGCGGGGGTGTCCACAGGATCTCAGTTGCTGATGTTTTCACCCCTTCCTGCCTTTGCCCTGTGCGTACAGTTGAATCCACAAGTTCATAGAAACTGGAGGTGCGTGTCACGGGACTCTGCATTCTGTTGGTAGCATTCATAATAACGACGCCAAGGTCACAGCTGCTACAATTTATTGAGCAGTTACTATGTGCCGCCCTCCATACTAAGTGCCTTAATAAGTATGTCCCTTTCCCAGTTACTAAGAGTCAGAGGTGGGATTTGAACACAGGCCTTGTTTGTCCTCAAAGTACAGCCGGTTGTCTTCTCTCCATTGTGCAGGTGGTAAGGGAAATCCAGGCTCCAGAGATCTCTGGAGATGGTGACCCAGGATGGCTCAGGACTGTGGCATCCTCAACCCTGGGTCCCCACGACCTCTGGCTGGTACCTGCCTATCCTGTCTGCTCACCCTGGACAGTGATTTGCTCCAGACAGGGGACAGTTGAAATCGCGAATAGGCTCAGGAGGGCCTGGACGAGCACATGGACACCTCATCAAGGCTATCACTTAGAACATGTCCCAGGGACAATCACAGCGTCCTGCAGAACATCCCTGGCAAAGTGTCATAGCACTGCTTGGTGGCCCTTGGACCAGCAGCATCAGCGCCGTCCAGGGAGGCGGGAGCCCTTCCTGCCCATCCCAGACCTGGGGGTCAGCCCTGCAGGAACACTGCAAGGTACCTTCAGCTTCTTGAACTCCTGGCGCGACAGGAAGCCCTTGCAGGCCGCCTGGAAGAGGACGATGCTCTGGGACGCCAGCTTCTCCCGCTGCCTCTCCAGCCTGGAGACCACCCCTGCCTTGAGGAAGACCTGGCAGAGAGAAAGGCTGCGGTGACTCCCAGACTCAGTCCCGGTGACTGGGCTGAGAGGTGCTGGGAACTCAGACCCCAGCTCTCCTACTTCCTGCTCCGATATTTGCTGGTAGCATCCTTTAATAAGGGCCTGAAGTATCAAACCATTCTGTCTCCCCATGGCTCCACTTTCCCCTCTCCTAGCCCCCAGATCCGCAGTGTGGCCCAGGCCCCAGCAGCCTGGGCAGGGCTTGCAAGCTTGTGAGAAGTGCAGAATCCCTGCTGGGTGCGGTGGCACACGCCTGTCATCCCAGTGACTCAGGAGGCTGAGGCAGGAGGATCCCAAGGTCAAAGCCACTCTTAACCAAAAGCGAGGCACTAAGCAGCTCAGTGAGACCCTGTCTCTAAATAAAATACAAAATAGGGCTGGGGCGTGGCTCAGTGGTCGAGTGCCCCCGAGTTGAATCCCAGGTATTCCCCCCATCCCCCCCGAAATAGAAGTGCCGAGTCTCTGACCCTGCTAATCCGAGTCTGCACCCTAACCCAGGGGTTACACGCATCTTAGTTCGGGAGCCACTGTGGGACAGATGTGCTTCATCTTCTCTGTGCACGAGGCTCACCCAGGGCCTCACCAGGTAAGGATCAGTCAGTGGATCTGGAGTCACCCTGGGGATATGCCTTTCTATAGGTGCCACTGGCTGGTGACCCGAGAGAAGCCCTGCCCTAGAAGGACTTCAACCCAGCCCTGTGGAGGGGCAGAGACGTGGGGAAGTGAGGGCCGTCCTCCTTGCCCAGGAGAGGTGGTGGCTCAGGCTTCCAGGGGAAACAGCTCAGCGCTTGCCCACGGGCCCCTCATCAATGATGGGCGGTGGCCTCCGCAGCACCTGGATCCATGGCTTCTCGGCTCCCCCCAGAGCTGCCCTCTAATGGGCAGAGGGAGCGGCCCAGAAACGCAGGCCCCCTGTCGGCCAGAGATGCAGGCCCAGAGGGCTGGGGGTCGCTGAAGGATTCTTCTGAGAAAACCTGAAACTCTGGGGACAGACCTACTCAAGACAGCACGGCAGGGGAGTCGGGGCGCCCGGTTCCTCAGCTCCCCACAGGCAAAAGAAAGATGCTGTCGACCCGGGGTGTGGGTCAGCGGCAGGGGACAAGTGCCTCTTCAGATGAACTATGCTGTTATCTCTAAGAACAGTCGAGTAGGTTCCTTGGTCAGATGAGGCGTGAAATCCTCAAAGTACCCATTTCTCGGGAGGCTCTGGAAAGCCCTGTCTTGACTGGTGACTTCATCAATTACCTGACATTCACCCAGCAGAATGGGGGAGGGGACTTCACATGCCTGATCCCCTGCACCTTAGCTACAGGGATTCTGCAATGTCACAGAGGGAAATCAAGACTCAGGGGACTCACCCACGATCCTCCACTAGTGGGGGGAAATGCCAGGATTTATATCCTTCCCTTACTCCAGATCAGGCCACCGTTGTCACTGAATGTGACTGAGTCCTGCATGGCTTCTGCATTTACAAAGCCCCTCAGCCCTCCCAACAGCCCCAGGAGGAAGGATACAGACATCTGCAATGTGAAGTTCAACTGCAGTTCGATTTCACAGGGAACCAAGAGCCTCAATCGATTCTCCATTACCCCAAACCTATTTCCAGTGAAGGAGATGGCTCTGCCCAGCTCACTGAAAGACACTTCTCAACAGAGAGATGAAAATCGGCCCACGCCACGGCGAGAACCCCCTGTGGCAACTGTTGGTTTGCTTTGCGGAAAAGATGCCTGCTGTCAGCCAGGGCCACGGGACAATGAGTCTCGTTGGAATAAGACCTGAGTGACTCATGGCCCGTGAGACGGCCTTAATAATGACCATATGATTTCACAAGCGGGCGAGTCCCACAAGCTGCTATTAAAAAAAAAAAATCAATGATGGAAATGATGACAACATGAGCTTGTGTCTCTCCATAGGTGACAGGGGCCGCGGGGACCACTATTGATTAAGTATGATGCTTTCATTACAGAGATAATTGGAAACGACCACACAGAATGGGAATCGGTCATCGTCGCGGCAGAATCTTATCGTATTATTCCTTTGGGGTTTGCTCCTTTTAGAGGTCGACTGAGAATGGAATCACGTCCCTCTGAGAAGACACCACGGCCCAGGCACAACCCTGGAGAAGGCTGAGAGGTCACAAAGAAGACTCTGAACCCTCCACATTTCACGAGTCCAGCTGCTGATGAGGCCCGAGCAGAGCCCAACACCCGACACCCCAGTCTGTAAGGAACCCGTGGGGGGTGGCAGCTGCCATGACGGTTTTTTTCTCTGAAAATGCTGAAAGTCGAGATTTTTAGAAAAATCTTGATATGGTGATTGCCCCCATTTCTGGTTCACAGAGGAATGAGCTCCTCTCTGCTTAGTCCTTACAGAGATGAGAGTTGTTTAATTCTTTGAGCGTTAGAATGTCGCCCTGTGCAATCCTCGCCTCCTTCTGTGATTAATGACAGCTGACTTGTTAAGTTACCACCTACTGGTTCCCCCACTTGGGATGCAGAAAGCTGTGGCCCCATTTTACAGGTGAGGTCCTTGGGGGCTCAGAGAGGTTTAGTCACTCACTCAAGATTGACAGTTAGGAAGTGGTGGAGCCTGGGTACGGGCCGGGTCTGGCCTCCAAAGTTTCTCTTTTCCATGGGGCTTCAGGGACTTCCCAGCTACGAAGGACCAGCCCACAGAGTATAAAATACTGCACCCGCTCCAAGGGCTCAGTCTATTGTCCAGATACATTGACCTTGACTTGCTCTTGGCAGTTTCTTAGTGAACACCAATAGGATTGTTCAATAGTAATAACATTTTATTATGGGGATATTTAGGTTTATAGACTTCTGGCTTCTGCTACTGCAAAAAAAAAAAAAAGTGTGTAATGACTTTTATTTCCCTCCACGCTCTGTGGGAGCTTCTGGGATCGTGGGAACTGATTTCTGTCTTCATGAAGTAGCTAATTATCCAGTCCAGTGGTTCTCAGGCTGGAGCCTGCCTTAGGATCACCTAGGGGGCTTGGTGCTGCAGACTGCCGGGGCCCACTGCAGTCTCCGAATCACTAGGTCTGGGGTGGAGGCTGAGGGGTTGTGTTTTGACCACCTTCTCAGGTGGTGCTGATGTGGCCGGTCCTTGGACCACACTTTGAGAATCGCTGGTCTGCAAGGATGAAGGTCATGGGACTGAATCACTACCCCTTGACTCAGGAGCATAGCAAAGGGGTGGAATCTCTTCATCAATAAACTACAGGACCCTGGCCATTCGCACGGGCATTTGAAAAGGGCCTGGAATTTGGACTGAGCAGGGTCTGCTCCCTATTTGTCCTTGGAAACCTGATTATTTCCAAAAGATAGAGGCTTCTTGTGTGTAAAACAGGCATGAGCTGCTGTCACCCGGGAGACTGGGAGGGACCAAGACCAGAGGGTGAAGTTTCCTGGTAGACCACCCGGCTCAGGGACTGGAGAGATTATTCTATTGGAAATAGTTGCAAAGACCCAGATGCTGCGACTCCCAGCAGGAGACCTCAGGCTGGGACCAAAGTGGACCAACAGCTTGGACCATAGTGGACAAGTAGCTTGGACCATGCCCCTCAGCAGGCCCCAGGGCCAGTAGGGAGATCCCTGTGTGTTTAGGACAAGCTGAGGAGCAGCCAGCAGTGTGAGTGACAGGGAGCTCTCCAAGGAAAACATCACTTTGAGGGATGGTGCTGGGGCAGGCTACGAGGTCAGAGATGGCCCAGGGTGGGCTTGTGCATGAGGGCCCTTCCCCAGCAGCTCCCCTGGCACCCGGGGCTGGGATCTACCAAAACAGCTCAGAGGAGGCTGTTAATCCGTCGGTAGGTAACTAGCCGGGGAGATGGATGCAGTCAATTTCCCTTACGTTTGGGCCCCCTGCAGCCTGTATTTCTAAAAGCGATCCCTTCCCCTGCCGCCACCTGGTCCTCGAGTTTGAAATCTGTGTCTCTCTTCCCAAACGACAGCCCATGGAACGGGGGTTCCAGACGCCAAGAAACAGAACACTCTACGAGAGCAGGAGGCTGAGGCAGTTTCCACCGTCAGAGTTTGGATGTTTCCCGCCTTGAAAATGTGCAGGACGCTGCGTGCTGGGGAGGGATCACGTGCCTCTCACACACTGGCGCACCCTGGGTCAGCTTTTGGTTTGCATCTGTTTGGGAAAAGCTCCCTCAACTTGAAACCCACAGGCTCCTCCTGGAGCCCCTGCTCACTGCCTCACTGAGCTAGGACAGCAGTTGGGCCACAGATGGGGGCAAAGTTCAAGTTAGAAGGTTCTGAGTGACAAGAGCACTTCTTTGCAGATTTTATAGCAGTTTTGTTTTTTTTCCCTGAGACTCAGAAGGTCACATGAGGGCCAGAATGCTAACTCTTCCAGACCGCTGAGGTCCCTGGACTTGTGACCTCTAACAAATGACATTTCCCAACGCTGTTTCTGCCCTCCTTGTGACATGGTTTCTTCATGGCCCTGGGAGAGGGGCAGGGCAAAAGGGAGACCCAGAGAGATCATGCGGTCAGGGGTCATGGAGGTCAGACGGCCGTGGGGTCTCATCCGATGGGATGGGCGGGAGGCCATCAGAAAGATGCTCCACTTACTTGGCTGTGTCCCAGGGCCACTGCCGTCTTCTCCAGATCCAAGGTCATCAGGAGCTGCTCCACAGCCTGGGGACAAGAGGAGAGAAGTCAGGGAAGAGGGGGGAGGTAGAGGACCCTGCTGGGAGGTGAGGCTCTGATGGCAGACACCCCCGGGGGGAGGGGAGCCCACCGTCTATGGGTTTTGGTCTTTAGAGCCCCAGGCCACATAGGCGAGAGCAGAAAAGCAACATGTACTGAGCACCTACTGTATACCAGCCACTCCACTGAAACCTTCAAAGACACCCAATTTGCTTCATCCTCATGACAACCTTGGGTGGACTGCCCTACAACCACGCCCAGTTTACAGAAGAGAAAAACAAGGGCACCAGGCGAAATGAAGAGTGTGGACAACAGCACAGCAGCTCTCAAGAAATTCAACCTAGGATTTCCCTGTGGTCTAGCTATCCCACTTCCATACATATACCCAAGAGAATGAAAAACGGAGCCCCAAAGAGGTACCTTTACTCCAGTGTTCATAGCCGTATTAGTCACAAGAGCCATAAGGTAAAGACCACCCAGGTGTCCATGAGAGACAAATGAATAAACAAGACACTCATAAACAAGATACGGTATATCCATGTAATGGAATAGTATTCAGTCATTAAAAAAGAAAGAAATTCTGACACACGCTACCCCAGGGATGAGCTTTGAGGCCATGATGCACAGTGAAAGAAGCCAGTCACAAAGGGACAAATACTGTATGGTTCCACTTACACATGGCCCCGACTTTAGGCATATTCATAGAGACAGGAAGTAGACTGGTGGCTGCCAGGGGCTGGGGGAAGGGAGAATGAGTTAGCCTTGAAAGGGTCAGAGTTTCGGGTTTTTGCATGAGGGAGCTCTGGACCCAGATGGTAGTGCTTTTTGCATCATGTTATAAATTTACTTCGTGTCACCAGACACATGACAGACGTCACACTATGTTATAAATGCCACCCTATGGCGTTTTACTGTGCGCACACGTAAGACCCTAGATGAACCATTTCTCTGGGACCCCAAGGTGACCCAGGGCAGAGCCGGGTTCCAGTGAGGTCTGTCTGGCTCATCGCAACATCTCTGCTTGGAATGGCTCCCGGGGTTTCAGATGGCTCCAGAGGATCTGAGGGCACCAGGAAACCCACCCCCTGTGTCACCAAGTCCCCCCCAACAGCCTCCCCAGCTCTCCGTGCATCCTTCACTGAGCACGTCAGCTACTGCCTCACTCACCGTGACCTTGCCCGCCCGACCTAGATCATGGCAAGGAGAATCTGTGCCTAATTCACCTCGCATTCTCTCCTCCGCACTCTAGTGCCGTTCTGTATAAACAGTAGGCGCTCAATTCACAGGATGAACAAGTAAGAGAAATCAGGAGGAAAGGAGAGGCAGTGCCAAGTGGAAGAATTCAATCAAAGAGGTTTCTAGAGGCAGCACAGAACCGGCCACCAGCGAGTTCATGGAACTGCCTCCTTTCAGAGGGTCCTGCAGGTTTGAAACCAGCCCACTGGAGATCTGCTCCCTTCCACGGATGCAGGTCGTGCCCGCCTCCTTGGTGGCTGGATTCCCCTCACTCCACCCTCGCGCCACCCTGCAGTGGTCTGCCGTTCATGGAAAACCACAGTCTATTTTCAGAATAAAAGGTCCAAAAAAAAAAAAAATAGTGATTGTAACACTCAGGAGGGGAAAGGGTAGGCAAGGCTGGGGCCATGGAGTCGGTGAGCTTCGACTCCGTGGGTGAGCGGCGGCTAGGAAAGGCCCCTAAGGTAGACAGACCCCCAAGTTGCTTATTGAGATTCCCAGATCACAATGAGGGCGGCAACCTCGTCTCCACCCTGAAAGAACACTGCATGATGCTCCTCCAAAACTCAATGGTTTCACTTATTACATTTGAGCCAAATAAATTAAAAAAAAAAGATTTCCAGGGAGCCACAGAGAGCAGAAATGCATGACGTCCTTTCTCTCTGCAAAAGGAAAAAGTACAATGAAATAGACTGAGAATAAAACGGGTGGGTAGGCGAGGGAGATCCGTGAGGGTGAGGTGTCCCTAGTCTGTCTTGGCAGGCAAGTCCAGAGTCGATGTGAGAGGAAGAGATCAGGAGTCGGGCTACCCGGACTCAGGGCTTGGTTCGATCTTTCATAAACTGACCTCAGACACACACTTTCCTGGGAGGCTTAAACTTCTTTCAGGAAAGTGGGGAAAATAATGGCCACTGTCTGAGAAGATTCTGAGGCTGTGCGATGGGAAGAGTCACATAGTGTCTGACGTACAGTAAGCTCTCAATGAAAGCTAGGAGTCACTCCAACCCAGAGCCTCATGCTTGGGCCAAATCCTGGTAGGGTTTCTGCAGAACATGGAAGTCTTTCACCTGTTGGATCAAAACACCGCCAAAGAACATGTTTAGCCACCGCAATGACTAGGACATCTTGTCCACCTCCTTCTTTTCTTAGATTCCTTTAGATGGGTTGGGCACCCCTGTCATCCCAGTGGCAATGGAGGCTGAGGCAGGAGGATCGAAAGTTCAAAGCAGCCTCACAATTTAGTGAGGCCTTAAGCAGCTCAGTGAGATCCTGTCTCTAAATAAAATACAATAAAATATTAAAAAGGGCTGGGGCAGGGCTGGGGTTGAGGCTCAGCATGCGTGAGGCACTGGGTTCTATCCTTAAGCACCACATTTAAAAAAATAAACAAAATAAAGGTACTGTGTCCATCTACAACTAAAAATATTTTTAAAGGGGTGGGGCTAGGGATGTGGCTCAATGGTTAAGTACCCCTGGGTTCAATCCCTGGTGCCAAAAAATAAATAAAAATAAAAAATTCCTTTGGATGTCTGTGCAGCTGAGAACAAGAATATGCAGCCCTTTGACTGTGTTTTAAAGATAAGAAGGCACAGGCATAATGGAGGTGGGGAGCAGGTGAACGCAGCCGTTCATGGTGCAGGTACCCCATTCCTCACCTGCACGGTGATCACGCACTCTCCCTGGGCCACAGGCACTGGGAGGATCAACTGAGAACACGTGAGAAGGGCTTTGCAGTTAATTGCTCTTGTTAGCCTCGTTAATACGACAATTGGATAAACCTGATGAAGTTGCTCTGTTTAGGCCAAATATCAATTGTTTATTCAGCTGACACAAGGCCATCACCGTCCAACAGCCAGACAGCAGAAAAAGACATGGCAAGGACCCCGGTGACGAACAGAAGTGACTTTCTTCCTGCCTCTTGATGGAACCGCACTTTCTTCCTGTTTTTGTTTTATTGTTTTAACTATTTTATTTTATTTTACTGGTCCTGGGGATTGAACTCAGGGGCCCTCGACCACTGAGCCCCGTCCCCAGCCCTATTCTGTACTTTATTTAGAGACAGGGTCTCACTGACCTGCTTAGGGCCTCGCTGTGGCTGAGGCTGGCTTTGAATTCGTAATCCTCCTGCCTCAGCCTCCCCAGCCCCTGGGATGGCAGTTTTGTGCCACTGTGCTTGGCCAGAAACAGAACTTTCATGGATCAGAACTGCCCACAGAGTTGAGGAGTCTCCTCTTGGTGTATAGTGCTACTTTCATGAGAAAAACACTGGCCGTTTTGCTCTACGAAAGCACAGTTTTCAGTCTGTTTCTAAGTCTGAGGATGGCTTCAAAAGCTTGCATTTAATAATCGAGTCTGTTTCCAGACCTCTGCAATAGACAGCCTTTCATCCCCATTTCACAGGGAGTGAAACTGAGGCCCGGTACCATGGAATGACTTGGCAAAGGTCAGGATACAGGAGGTGATGGCAAGGGACCCAAACCAAGGACCCCCCACACACACTGCTGTCCTTGTCTGGTCCCGCCATTCACCAGCTGGGTGACCCTGAACCAGTTACTCCCCTGCTCTGGTCCTAAGTGCCCTTCCTGGAACACGGGGGTGACGCAGCTGTCCTACGAGAGCCCAGTGGGGACTTACTGAGGTCTTGAGAGCAGTGGGCGAGAGGGAGACTTCCAGCGACTCGCCTGCCCTCCTCCCCCCAAAGGTCAAGTTCAATGCTCTGGAAATGGAGCAAAGAGATCCCACAGATAGAGAAGCATTTATTCAAGAAACGCCCTGGACACCAGGTGGGCACAGGGCACGTGGGTGGCCATCGTGGTGGGCGTGGTCCACTCTGCCGTCCCTCCGCCCCCCAACTCTGTCTGTGAAGTGGCCCTGACACAGGACACCAACTGGAAAGCAGCAGCCTTCGTGCCAGAAGGGTTCAGAGCCCGGAAAACCCCACTCGGGGCCGAGTTAGAAACTGTCATTATCTCAGCAGAAAATAAGTGGGTCGGACGGAGTCATGACTCAGCCTGGGGTGGCCGCAGAGCATGGGCCAGCCAGGAGTCAGCCAGGAGACAC